CCGCTTGATTTTTAGTTTTAGGGAATGCTTAAAAACAATTTATACATATTTGAGTCCGATCGAGCTACCAACTTGGATGAATTACGTTAAAACATTATACAGTTCAGGTTTAGCCCAAGCTGGTGGTTTGCTCGAACCACTCTTGCATAAATTGTTTTTTATTTGATAAGAATGTTTAATTTTGAGTTATTTTTTTAATTTTTAATAATAATTTTTTTGTATTTTTACCAGAATTATTGCTTTATTTTTCATGTATGCTATGGCAGAAAAGAAATCAAATAAATAAGTTAGGAGAAAAGATAATATTTTAAAAGATAAAATAATCTTTCATTTCAAATAAATTATCTACATCTAGGTGTGCACCCCAACGCGTATTGTACACAATTGAATCAAATTCACACCTTACGTGTGCTGGAAGGAATGACCCCCACTAATCAATTCATCACGAAGTTGTATATAGCGCGTGCATGCTTTTTATGAAGCTGTGGCTGTTCATCTTGTTAATTTGCAATACCCAAAAAATATTTAAGCCTAATCTGTATTTATAAAATCAATAAAAAAATATCAAAAACAAGTATAACAGATCATTCTTCAACAGCATTAGATATTATGGTTGCTAAAATAAAACGGTTATTATAAAAAATTAATAATATTAAAAGACATCTCTTCGACTTGTGGAGAATGAACAATCTTACCACCTTTTAGATACAAAAATAGTTCAAATTTTTCTGTAGCGTCGTCTAAGTTCTACAATGGAAAAAGAAGAAGCAAAATAATACGTGTATGTTCCCCTAATCATATAGGCAGGCCTTAATAAATCTAAGCTATGAGACATAGCTATGTCACAACCTTCTTGGAAACACCCTGTATATAAGTATTCGCGTATCTACCGCTATTATTTTATGCGTAAATAAAAAATACATTGGCCATTGTTATTTACATCATGATTATCACTAATGAATTAAAGAACGATATTTCACATTGTCACCTTTAAATGAACAATTGATTTATTGAAATGTAAAACTTAAAGATTAATTCACGTTGAAGCGATGCCATGTTTCACAAAGGGTCATTTGCATTTGCTTCTCAAATTACATGTTTGAAACTGAGATACGGAATCTAGCGTCCACCTTTACCACAAAAAGACTACAATTACAGGCATTTGTCAACATCAGGATACAGAGAATGCCCCAAAGGACCGACAGGATAGGAAAACAAACGGCTTAATGTTGACTCTCCATGCAGTTCCATCATAAGCAGCTTTGTATGGTCAATGATAACACTCGTGAAATCTATTATTGAAGTTAGATGATGATAATATTAGCTGCTTTGAGTGCTGTAATTGGAAATCGGAAAGATTTAATAACGTTTACGGTTGCATAATGCGGGTCTGTTGATATTGGTTAGGAAGATAATATTATAATAATTTAGTTATAATAATAATAATAATGGTCAGAAACTTTGACACATATAAGGATCAAAAAAATACGTCTAGTATTTTATTAAATAGATAGTTCTGAAGTTTATAATACAAACATTTTTAAATATTTTGAGTTTCTTATATCATTAGGAAATTTATTTATATATTTTTAAACTAAAAATATGCTTAGATGATGCATTTAAAATGGGGTATATACAAAACTTTACATTATGGAGTAATAAGAGAGTGAACCGTTTGATTTAAAATAATTTTTTAAGATTTGAAAAAACATATACATACACACATTTCTAAGACAATCAAAGGAGGGTATCGTTTTGGGCCAAACCAGAAAAATATTTTTATATTTCAAAAACTTAAAAATCTGAGAGAAAAGAACAAAAATTTACTTTTATATTAAAGCTATAAGCTTACAATGCATTTCTATTACTTAAAAACAAGGAAAAGGATGAAAATGGAATTAAAACCTCCAGAACTCCTAAACACAAAACTAAACTTTGCAACAGAGGTGAAGTACCTAGGTCTCAACTTTGACAGCAAGTTAACAAGGAACTTGCATTTAGAAAACAGAGTTGAAAGAGCATACATTGCTTATGAACAATGCCGCCGAAGCGTGGCTCGCACCTGGAGTTTCTCCCCAGAGTCGTCGCTATCATAAGACCTATGCTAACATACGGTACAGTTGTCTGGATACCGAAAACCCAAAAATTAACAGCTATCCGTAAACTAGAACAAATTCAAAGAACAGCATTTCTCAACATAACAGGAGCCATGAAACCAACACCGACTAGAGCCATGGAAGTCATTCTTGGTCTCACTCCCCTTGATATTTACATCAACGAGGTTGCTCTGACGATAATGACACGCCTCCGCACGGTTGGAATAGAACCTGATGTAGCGAACATGGACGCCATCTCACCGAGATATATCTTCCATAAGCCATATAAAGTTATATTAAAACAAATAGAAGAGCCAGAAGTGACAGGTACGATTCATATCCACACCGACGGTTCTAAAGCAAAACAACGCTCAGGTTGTAGAATATACCCCAGATTCTTAAACATAAAATGGGCTGTGAGCAATAGTACCAGTGTAGTTCAAACAAAGCTAACGGGGATTCTCATAGCAGAAAAAGAAACAATATCACTGGAAAGAACATGCTCATCTATACAGATAGCAGACAAGCTTTAATCACCCTGAAGAGACCACGAATTTTCTCAGGGTTAGTACTAGAATGTCACGAAGCTTTGGCCAAAGTATCCATCAACAATGTGGTCACCTTAAGATGGATCAAAGGACACGCCACATCGAAAGGTAACCGTCTTGCTGATTCACTAGCCAAGAAAGCAGCTAACCAAATACTTTTTGGACCTGGCCCTTCTATTGGCCTGACAAAATCGGTAGTGACTTAATCAAAGAACATTCCCTTGTGAAATTCAAGGAAAGATGGGATGAAACAAGAAACTGCAGAGTTGCCAGGGAGCTCTTAAGTTATCTTGACAACACTGAAGCAAACAAATACTTGACTATGACTAGACAGAATCTGCGCCTAGTCACAGGCATTCTGACTGGTCATTGCCAAGTACGAAAGCATCTCCATATCATGGAGCTGTCAGAATCCTCACTCTGCAGAGGGTACGAACAAGAAGATGAGACCATCGAGCATATACTTTACGATTGCCCAACGCTCTCATTTATTAGAAGATTTGTGTTCGGCGAGTATCGGCTAACACTGGCCGATATAAGAGAAGCACCTCTTGGCGACGTTGTCAACTACATTAAATCTGTAGGCTGGCTCACGAGCTAGGAGGTGTCTATCATCTCAGAAGGATGCACAATGGGCCTAATGAGGCCTAAGTGCCGTGGGGGTAACCCACCCTCCACACGTTATAGATACAGATGACATTTATTTACTAAATTGCTAATAATGCACATTAAAAACATGATATATTCAGTAGATAGGTACTCACCTGTAACCTGTAACAGGTAGACACGAAAATTAAAGGTGGATCTATGTAACTAAACTGCAATTCAATTTTAAATAATTAACTAAATAAACTGTATTTATTTTTTGTAAATAAGATTATATTTTTCTGTAGTTTACATCCTCTTACACAATAAATTAAACTAAAAATTGCAATAATAAAGACCTTGAACATTTTTGACAGACGACGTTGACCATAACATTAAATTGACGCCATAACGGTGACGGTACTGAATGACGTTTGGAGCAAAGAGTTTTGTAGTTTGGAACTTGAAACAGTTTGCCATGTTGCCATGTACTCCTTGTCATTTTGCAATAATTAACAATTAAAAATTTTTAAAAAAGTATTTTCCGGGCCGTTTTAAAGCCTAAAATTTTAAAAAGTTTTTTTTTTTTATTATCTATAAGTAGTAAACATTTTATTGACTTCGGCCATTGGCCCAAAAAACGATACCTTCCTTTACAAGAGTTACAATTCTACATTTATTAAAAAGACCTTTACAGGAAGACGTTCTAGGGACACTAGCTATGATCCACAAAATTAGACTGGAACAATGTTTTTTCTTATTCAAATCTTCATCAAAAAAGTTTACCTACCTGTGGATTTAAGAATTTTATTATTATTAAATATATTAGTAGCAATACAATGTTTTTGATAATTATAGAATCGAATTACATTTGTTTTATTACCATTAAAGAAAACAAAATTGAAACTAAGTCATCCATAGTTGACGCACAATTTCTTCCAAGAATTACTTCAGGTATATATGAAATAAGAACAATTGCTTCATCGGCTTATCTTATAATATTACCATTAACATTAATATTATCTTATTCGTTTGTATAAAACAAAAATAGTATTGGTCCCAGGATGTATCCTTGTGGGACACCCATAGTGACTAATAGGATGTACTTTTTAGACATAATATGTACATACTGTTTTCTGTCTCACAGAAACGATTCTCACCAATTTAGTGGAACAGTTGTAATTTAGATAAAAGCTAATCATGTTGTACACAGTTAAATGCCTTGCTAAGATCACAAAATGTCCCTACAGGGCATTCGCCTGATACAATAAAATCAAATAGTTTTTTGTAAAAGGAGAAAGTTGTAATATGACTCACAGCAAAACTCGGAAGTCTTTGAAGAAAACAATACTCAAACACTTTTGAAAAGCAAGTAGTTATAGTAATTGATCTATGCTAATAATAGAGGATAATTTTTCTTAAAAACAGGTATGACTTTACCGGATTTTAGAGACAGGAATAGCACCTGTAGAGAAAGATAATTTAACAAGACATGTCAAAGGTGATCAAATGAATCCTAAAACTTTTTTAATAATAAAAGTGGGTATTTCATATTTTTTATTTTTTAAAATTCCTAACACTCTTGTTCTAAAAATGGAGACAAAAATGTGAAACTTTTTTAATACGGTTTATATGGATGAATAAACTATAGTTAGTATTATTCTTGACAGCAATTACTGCCTGCGAAAAATATTTGTAATATATAAAGAAAAATGACTGTAAACGTATGTCTTTGTCGATGTTGAAGATTAATTTTATTGTTTTATTTCAGTGGAAGTCCTTTTTTTGGTCTGGGGAATCAGACTGTGCATTGTTGTGAGAAAAGCCCCATCGGAGTTCAATGAAAGCCGATTTATCTCCATGGCAATTTACAACGAATTCTTATTATCCGTTTTCCTAAATATATCAATGTAAGTATTTATTCTAATTTATTTTTTTAATTATTTTAATTGGAGAAATACACTTATCGCAATTAATTACTAAAACATACACTGTGTCCCAAATTCGAGTCTCTATGTTGGTATATCGTTTAATATAGGAGATAGACGGTTGATTAAATACCGGTGTGAAGTTAGCAGTAACTTTTAGCAGTAAAAATAACCGAAAACACCCGATCAGGAAAACAGTGGCGTCTGACATACAACTATTTTAATAATCTTGTCAATATGTATTTTATACATTATTATCGACAAATAATTAATATACGGTTGAAAAAACCCTTAAAATTGATAAAAATATTTATCCTACGAAGTAAATTAGATCTCAATTTAATTTCACATTTAAAAAATCATAAATACGCTAACATACGCTATAAGTAAACATTTCTTCGTTGAACAGGGTAAAATTACCTCATAAATAAATTCATAAAATAATTATCCTGTGAAGTGTTTAATATTTAAAAAATCAATAGTAGACTTACTAACATACAGTTTAAGCAAAAATCCTTTCGGACTCGTCAAAAAGGGTGATACTTATAATAAAAAATAAGTATTTACCCCATGAAGTGAAAATCTCTTCGGACCAACTTTCTTTTACAATCAAACAAATAAATTTAATATGACATACTGTAGGCGCAAATCCCGTTGAACCCGTCGAAGAGGGCGAAATTAACCCTTAAAAACCCCAAACAATAATTATCCTATAAAGCCGATCAAATTCATACTTGCTTTTGCATTCAAAAAATCATAAATACATTCATTAAAGTACATTATGAACTAAAATCCTTTCAGCCCTGTTAAACAGGGTGAAATTACCCCTTTAACTTCAAAATAAATAATAACCCAATGAAGACGATTAGATTCCAACTTGGTTTTACATTTAAAAAATCATAAATACCCTCACCAAAGTACCCTGTAAACTAAAATCCCTTAGGACCCGTTAAACAGGGTGAATTTAACCCTTAAACTTCAAAATAAATAATAATCATATGAAGACGATCAGATCCCAACTTGGTTTTACATTTTAAAAATCATAAACACACTTACTAAAATACGCTATGAGAGACAATCCCTTCAGACCCGTCAAACAGGGTAAAATTAACCCTTTAACTTCAAAATAAATAATTACTTAATGAAGACGATCCGATCCCAACTTGGTTTTAGATTAAAAAAAACTTAAATACACTCATCAAAGTACACTGTAAGCGAAAATCCCTTCCAACCCGTCAAACAGGGTGAAATTAACCCTTAAACTTTAAAATAAATAATTAACCTATGAAGACGATTAAATCCCAACTTGATTTTAAATTTAAAAAATCATAAATACAATCACAAAAGTACTTGTTGTACAAGTTGGGATCTGATTGTCTTCATTGGGTAATTATTTATTTTGAAGTTTAAGGGTTAATTTCATTCTGTTTGACGGGTCGAAAGAGATTTTCGCTTACAGTGTACTTTGATGAGTGTATTTATGCTTCTTTTTAATGTAAAACCAAGTTGGAATCTGATCGTCTTCATTGGGTTATTATTTATTTTGAATTTGAAGGGTTAATTTCACCCTGTTTTACGGTTCGGAAGGGATTTTTGCTTACAGTGTACTTTGTTGAGTGTATTTATGATTTTTTTAAATTAAAATCAAGTTGGGATTTAATCGTCTTCATAGGGTAATTATTTATTTTAAAGTTTAAGGGTTAATTTTACCCTGTTAAACGGACCCAAAGAAATGTTTACCTATAGCATATGTTAGTGTATTTATGATTTTTTAAATGTAAAATTAAATTGGGATCTGATTTCCTTCGTAGGATAAATATTTTTATCAATTTTAAGGGTTATTTTCAACCGCATATTAATTATTTATCCATATTAATGTGTAAAATACAAATTGACAAGATTACTAAAATAGTTGTATGCTGGACGCCACTTTTCCCCGATCGGGTGTTTTCGGTTATTTTTACTGCTAAAAGTAACTGCTAACTTCACACCGGTCGATTAAATGGATAATGTTTTAGATAATTTGATGCTGTTTTTTTATTTTGTTTTTTTTTTTAATAGCGGCTTAACAGTGAATTTGGCATATTTTAAAGTGTTACGTTATCAAGTCACTTTTTAATGAAGAATATTTTTATGGAAAAGTTTTTCAGATTGTCTTCTGTTTTCGAGTTACCTGCCATAACTTTGTTGTTTCTTATTGCGGCCATATTGGATTTTTACAATAATAATAATAATAATAATAATAATATTACCCTCTAAATTACCTTTTAAACTCCCACAATGGATCTGAAAAAAAAAATAAAATCGAGCATTTTTAATTTTTTTGAAATAAGTCAAAACTACGTAAATTGAAATCATTTTGAAAACACATTTCTTTAAACGTATCTACAGAGTGTTGCAGAATGTTGTAAAGAAATTTTAATGGCAAATACTACATCTAAAAATATAAAAAAAGTTCTTATGAACATGTGTCTGGAAATGCTCCGTTTTCTAAAAACGGTGCGTCAGAACGAAAAAGTCTTAAAGGCACTTTTTAATCAAAATTAATCTGACTTTAAAAAAGCGACACCAATGTTTTGCAAAACCAGCTTTTTCGCGAACGCCACTGATGTAAGTAATAATAATAATAATAATAATATTCTCCCTTACGAGTGAATTTTAACCCCAAAAGCTGAGCTTGTCGGGGAAAGGGACGGCTATTATTATTATTTGCCGTAGCGCTCCGGGGCGACTTAAAGATGATTGATGGTGCCATTTGACTTACAGGTGAGGAAAACCCGGAAAACCTCACCCACCATCATCGAGACGGTAACGCATGGCGATTTTATAATGTGCATGTCATATCAACAGAAATTGAATTTCTATTAATACGGCACACATCAAATCCTAAACCGAACCATGCAATTTAATTAAAAATCCACATGGTCTGGTCTGGGATTCGAAGCCCAGCAGTCTCTGAATCATAAACTTGCCTATAAATGAATATAAGCGCGTTAGACCGCTACACCACCGACCCGAAGTGCTTTAGAAAATAATTTTGTAGATGTAAATGCGGGCTTTCATGGTACATTTTTGTGTGTACCAAAACTCATTTCAAAATCCTAACGATAAATGGAAGATAAATTATTAAAGGCGGAAAAGATTAAACACCCCGTATCATGAAAACAGAGCATTTTTATGTTTGTATGATCTTCTTTGCATATTTTTAGATATAGAATCTGTCATTAAATATAAAATATGAACAAAAGTTCATGGACTGTTTTAATAAAATGAATTTCGAACAAAGCAAGATCCAAATATTGCAAAACAAAGTAGTTATCTAGAGTAATAAATCAGGAACAGTGACTTTGATATTCAAATAGATCGTTGTTTAAGCAAAAAAACATGTATTTCTATATGCAAGCGAATTTTATTAAAGTAACAATTCCGCCTTTGAACTACTTCCGACAGAACATATTTAAAATATCTGTGTGTATGTGGGTACCTATTTTATATTTTCTATTTAATTTTAAAATATCTGCATCATCAAGAATGTTAGGTATATTGCAAATTCCACCTTTAAAAGAAATATTTTGAGAATCTAATTTGCTTCGTTTAAGCTAATATTTCAATTAAAAATTAAGTGAATTTTTAATTTAAACGGAAGTAAGAACTTGTCGGCAATTTCATCAAAATTTGCTTGTAAAAGCCGTGTTTATGTTTTGTTTTTACCAGAATGCTTTTTTTTGTTCAAAATGGAGCGGGAAGAACTCTAATCTAAACACAGAACACAGTAATTGCATCTTTATTAAGGTAGAAGATTATCAACAAATGTTTTTCTCTTTCACTTTCACACTTTTTTCGTGTCAGTTTAAAATTCTCATCTGATAATAAAAATCACCAAACGAAAGACAAATCGAGTCAAGATTGATTGCCCGTAGCCTTACAGAATTTAAAGCTTTCGTAGTCGTTCAGAATTTAAACGGCTCGTAATAATTGTCAAGAGTTGTTTACAGTAAAAACAGGATAAAGTATTCTTACCTAAAAAAAACATTTTAGTTGATATGTGAAAATTAAAGCCGCAACTTATTTTTTATTTCAATTGCGGGTAATGTTTTTATTTTATACTTATCTATTTAGTAACTTTGAAAAATTACCTTTTAAGTGTTTAAGGACCCCCGCACTAATCATTTTGGTTAGAGACCATGCAACAACTTCTGCTGATCAATAATCTGTTATCGATTTAATATTTAGTTGTTGTTTTACGGCATTTTTAAGTTAATAGGACTATATATCTTCCTAACTTCTCATTTTCTTTATAATAAATAGATCAGATTCCTGTACTGGAGTTGTTGCTGATAAATGCTTTACCATTACATAAATCTCACTTTTAGCCCGCTTTACCTAGAAATACAATATAACACGTTCCGAAATCTCAGAAAAGCAGATAGGTCACTATTTCAGAGAAATATGTCTGCAAGCATCCCAGAGTACCGCCCGCTTAATTTCCCACAGGGCATCGATTTTCTGGTAAGTCTAAGCCACAATCACCGGTGCCGTCGAAAATTCAGTCCCAATTACTTCCATTAAAACATCACAAGAATCCTTCCACCAATTCATCATATATCTCATTCTTCAAAAACGGCGATTGTATAGACAATATGTCCGTATCCAACACCCTGTCATCAAAACCGAATGGAACTGTCTTAACACCCTGATCAGGCTTCAAATAAACTTACACAAACAACAACAATAGGTTCTTTCGTTCGTCCCATTGGTGTAGGAATGAACTACACCAACGTACACTAAACCTTTCGTTTAGCCCGGTGTAAAATCCACTATATCTTCCTATCGGCGATGTGGTGTCCACTGGTGGATATTTTCTCCACCAGCTATTTAACAGGAGTAAATTACACTCGACGATGTGTATAAGGAATAAGAAGGATGTAAATTAGGGTAAATAAGGTGGTGTAACTGGTGTAATTTACACTGGTGTACACTTC